CCTGTCAAAAGATACTTACAGTTACTGTCTGTGTACTGGCTTCCTGTATTCAAACACTTTCACATCCCTAAATGCTAGTGCATACACGGAGGGTTAAATTACACCAACTATGGTGTTGTTTACTCCCGATGTGTTTTGCATTAGGGTTGTCTGTGTAGCAATATGAAACCTTTCACAAATTTGGTGAAAGTTTAAGCTGCATCTATTCTTACTCCACAGCTTTTGAATGCACTGGAAAATAAGCTGAAAGTTCTCTTAAATGGCAATATTACAAGGATTAAAAAGTAAGTATCACTATATTGTTCTTGTAAATGTATCGTACTTCATGGTGCAGTATTATTTATCCCCCCCCACCTCCCAAAAGGCTTCCAGCCCTTTTGCGAGGAGCAAAAGTTGACCGCTACTGGCCCACAGCCGATGGCAGACTAATTGAGTATGACATTGACAAGGTGGTGTATGAAGAGGATTCTGAATACCAAAACATAAAGATTTTGCACTCACAGCAGTATGGGAATATTCTAGTTCTGGATGGAGACGTTAGTAAGTATATAAATCATGGCATGTTGCTTGCACACAAGATTTTGTTTTTTCAAAATGACTGTTTAACTTAGTAGAGTCAGTCTAATAAGAATTATTTGTTTTGCCTTTAAAAACAAATTTTTCTTGCAGACCTTGCAGAGAGTGACTCTGCCTACACCCAGGCCATCACAGGCAGTGGAAAAGAAAACTACGCTGGAAAAGAAGTGCTGATTTTAGGAGGAGGTGATGGAGGAATACTTGCTGAGTTGGTCAAACAAAAGCCAAAGATGATCACCATGGTGGAGATATCCTTTACTGAGCTTTCATTTGAGTGACTTTGTTCATATTAAAGCAAACATTCACTTTAGATCACTCCAAATCTCCACACTTAGATTTGCATTATTCTCAGTGTAATTCTGTGTGTGCATCTGACTGTTCCTTAATAAAGCTTCTACATTGACCAGAAGGTGATAGATGGGTGCAAAAAATACATGAGGAAGACTTGTGGTGATATCCTGGACAACCTGAAGGGAGACTGTTACCAAGTGAGTGCTGAATTGTGTGGTGTGGTTTTTTTTTTTTTTTTTTTTTTTTTTTTGTGTGTGTGTGTGTGTGTGTGTGCACATTTGCTCAAAATGTGTTTTGCGTTATTAATATTTATTTTTAAAGCGGCAATAGGCAGGACAAAAGTTTTGAAGCAGGGGTAAATTGAAGATGCATTTTGAATAATCTCCTCGTCTCATGGATTGCAGATATTAGTTCAGGACTGTGTTCCCTTGCTGAAGAAGTATGTCCAGGAAGGAAGGACATTTGATTATGTTATTAATGACCTCACTGCAATCCCAATATCCACCTCGCCAGAAGAAGGTATTGATAACAATAGCCATACATCAGGAAAGGTGGCACACAGGTGCAGTGTGAAGAAATGTTTAACTTGTCACATGCTGTCTGGTTTCTGTAGACTCTACGTGGGAGTTCCTGCGTCTCATTTTAGATCTATCTATAAAAGTGCTGCATCCCAGTGGAAAGTATTTCACACAGGTGAGTCTGCTCCTAATTTACCATACCGTTCATGATTGGGGGATTTTGTCAATACTGTTTTTAAAGGTGAACTAAATATTAATTTATTTGAAACACTTCATGCGATGACCAAGCATCATTTCTACTGTGTGTCAGGGCCTAATTATTTATCTGTATGAGTCTCATGAATCTTTTCTGCTGCTGGCCATCAGGGCAACAGCGCAAATCTGACCGAGGCACTGAATCTGTTTGAGGAACGGCTGGGAAGGCTCTCGTGTCCAGTGGACTTCCGCAAAGAGGTGGTGTGCGTTCCATCCTACCTGGAGCAGTATCCTTTCTATCAAGTCCCATAATTTATAAAAATGTTTACTGAATTGAAGTATTAAGGCTAGGTTATCATTTCTGCTTTCATTAGAGAAATTAAATAATGGTGTTTTGCTCTTATACTGTGAGGGAGAAATTCAAAGTGTCTGCTTTAAAAAAACAACCAAACAAAACCCCAGACATTCAGGCACTGTCAAAGGTCACCTTTGCATATGGACTGATTATTAAAATTGGGATATTTGCTTGCTGTGGTCACCTGATCCTGCCAGTGTAGTTTAGTTAGCAGGCACATTAGGACCATCTGATTTTAATAATCCAGTCTAAGTGTCTGTCTGCAGGTGCTGCTTGCACGCACTCTAAACACCACTGATCTAATTGAAAAACAGTCTACTAACACACCAAAGCCACATGCAGGTGAATAAAGATGGTCTTCCCCATCAATCTAGCTCAGTTTCAATCCAGTCTAACATTTATTTGTTTTTGTGTACATGTGTAGTCCTTAACTCAACTATCAGATGGGTTTTTTACACCGCTTGGAAAAAGTAAACAAGTTATCTCCTGAAATTCTCAGCAGCTGGAATGTGAAGGCTCCTAATTTCTTCTGTACCCCCTCATTTGTACGCAAATTGAATGCAGCCTGAAAATTGGAGGCCACACAAAATTCAGTTTAGTTTTAAATGTTAGGAACTATTCAGATATTTCCAAAGTCTGAATTGTTCACACACCTCTGTGCACATTGGTGAGCTTCTGCTGACTAAGACAAGTAATTTAATTTGCTGTTTTCAGTTAACAAACACTGACTGAAAAACACTCCAGCTTCAACCAGTCAAGTTGGTGTGGTTAAGTTATGAGAGTATATGTGTATATATATTTTTTCTTTTTCTATAGCTGACTCAGTTCTCCTCGAGGCATAATTGCAGTTTTATCATCCCCATTCTTTTAATTTTACAACTTGTCAGTTGTATTGTTTGTTACTTGAGGTTTTTTTTTTTTCCTTATAAATGTCCACTTGCATGTGCTCTGAAGGAGCTGTTGGAACACTGATTTTTATACACTGATAATGTGGAGTAACTCATTTCCCATACATATGTACTCATTTTCTGTAATCTTGAGTTATGAAGTTGAATGAACGTGCCTCTGCGTGAGCCAGTGCACAGGTGCAGCATACCCAAAGTGTCACTTTTATGCTTCATTTTTGTTGCTGCCTTTCAAATGTGATTTCTTTCAGGTTGTATTAAGGTGGTCACGCCCAGCGGGACTGAGGGGCTTAAATCAAAGTGTTTTAAAAGGGAAACTATTTCTCCAAAGTTACTGCCACCTCTGCTTGTGCTGTTTTGTCATGTTTTATCGGCACCTTTTTGTTTTTGCCTGATAAAGTTTTTGTTAAGACTGTATTAGGTGCACGTAAAGGACGGTGAATGTAGCTTGCATATACAGTACAATGCACATTTGATCTACCCTGTGGGACATTTATTTATTCGTTATTTCATTAAATGCTGTCCTTTCCTGCTTGAGATGATTTTGACCATCTATGATTAAACTGTTTTTGGGGGGAACATACCTGTGGTGTTTGACTCATTCCTCTTGATCACTGTTATCTTAAGAAAAATGCAAGAGACGGGAAACGTGACTGTTTTCCTCGTAAGAACTAATATTTGTCCAAAACTTAAAGTACCAGTTTGTCAGCCAAAATCTTAAAGCTTAACTAATCAAATCTAAAAAATAAGGCAGAGGTTAAAAATGTCAAACTGCTGCAGCAGCTTTTGCATTTGCTTAGAATGTATTGGGTTTCTCATTCTGTGACATGTTTACACAGATGCCATACTAGTGACGCTGTGTGGTGTGTTATGAAAACTCTGGTAAACTACCAACTGGTCTAATTTAATTGGTGTACCATTTAACCCAGTAGTTAACTAGTGACGTTTATCAGTTTGACTCCAGAGTACTCTGGTACTGTATACAGAATTGTTATTCCAGAACTCTTATTACTCATTCAAATGCAACTTTGCAAACCTAACATGTGCTGCTATATTCTTTTTACGGAGAAAGTTTTCTGCTAGCAATGTTTCCAAAAAAGCCATACTTCAGTCTTTACAGGCCTCAGCCTGTTAAATGCTAGAGTCCGTTTTGTTTTTAAGTTTCTCACAGTTTGAGTATTGCATGGTCTGACATTGGGAGGAATTTGCTGGGAGGTCCCTCCAGGGAACTTTTACTTCTACCATCATCTTTGCTGTTGGTGAATACTTCCTTAGATTAGATCTCAATTCATTATTCTGCTGTATTCTATTGTCCTGAACATATGCAGAGGATATCCTAGTTGATTCAACGGTACTGTGGCTGCAAAACAAGCCCAAATCATCACCCTTCCACCACCGTACTTGACAATGGTATGAGGTATTTGGCCATAACACACGGTGCCATCTCTGGTGAAAACCAAACACGGCGTATTAGCACCAAAGGACATATCTTGTGGGGGGTTTTTTTGTTGTTTTTTTCCCCCAGATGCAACTTTGCAAACCTAAGCTGTGTTGCTGTATTCTTTTTCTAGAGATCACACTTCCTCTCAGGAACTCTTCCAAACAAGTCAGAAAAAAGTCTGAACCAGTATGACTGTACTGTCATTACCTGAACATACCAACGCCTGTAGAGTCGAGTGTTTTTGCCCCACCAGCAAAGAGACCTAGCTTCTGCTTTAATGGAGGTGCTCAAACTTTCTGATGACCAGTTAATCAAGTGCATTTGGCTGATATTTGCCCTATTAGTTTCTTTGGAAGCAGTAAGGTTGGACTTTTTACAGCACTGCAATAGAGACCAGTGAAAACTTTAATTTCACTTGAATGTAAAAGACAGTATGTGTGCCACCAAATGTCCGATCAGTGGAGGAATCGAAAGTCTTGTATCAAGGGTAAACGCTCCAATGGCTTTTCCAGACATCCTGCTTAAGTGCATGCTGTTTACATTGTCACGGCTCTCTTGGACACTAACTGGAAATGCAGCATGATTAATACAGCTATGCTTCCCCTGCTGTGACACATCAAAACATCTTACTTTACTTTAGGTGCTTTTAAATTTGTTTGTTAGACCATTAGAGCAATTATGTAAGCATGCATACATTTCAACACTGTTTTAAAAGTGAAATCTTTGTTATTAACTTAATTTTTTTTATTGGAAATGTAGGTCTGTGTGAAAGATTTAGTGGGTTACATTAGTGAAATTAATTTACTTTGAATATTAATAATATATAATACTTTAGTGTTCAGAATATCTGTAAGAATACAATAGGGGAAATAAGATGTTAAAACAGTAAGTTTCGTTTATAAAGTCATTTAGCTAATACATATGGCCTGCAGATAGCTTGTACATAAATTACTCTGTTCAGTTACATTATATTGTACAAATATATATATATATATATATATATATAAATAAAAGAGCGCTGAGAGAGGCGGCTTTGTCCCTCCACTATCAAGAAGTTTGTGAGTGTCTGTGCCGCATGTTGATCTCGTTGAGGACCACATCCATATTTGAGTCTTCATCTGCTGTGATTACTCTGTCTGCATATGGGCTACCTGTAAAACAGTGCTACTGTCATTATTTCAAAAAGGGAAATTGATATATTCTAAGAGTTGCAGCAATGACAGAAGAAACGCAAAAATGTCAGTTCGTACCGATCCCATCACTCTGTTCTGAAATGTCACTGTTGAGGAAAGAGGAGCTGGAAGAGTTATTGCCACGTGAGGTACTGGAATGAAGAGATGTGTTGTTGGTCAGCGATGACTTCTTTGCCGTCTTCTGTGTTGCAGTGCGACTCCATTCTGTTAAAAAAAAGACCCACATGATGAAGGTAAACGTGATTGTGAATTGCAATTATCGCACAGTCCATCCATTCTCTTCCGCTGGAGCCTATCCCAGCTGTCTTAGGGCAGGAGGCAGGGTACGGACAGGTCACCAGTCTGTTGCATGACTAACACATAGAGACAGGCAACCATTTGAACTCACATTCACCTATGGACAAGTTAGAATTACCAATTCAGCTAACCCCACTAACTGCATGTCTACGTGTACTCGGATAGAACCCACGCAATCCCACAGTCGATAAACGTATTTCTTAAATGAAACCAAATAAAGGAGTAACCTTCACCAGTTTGAGGCACACAGTATAAAACGAACACCGCTAACCTGAGTTCTCAGATAGTCTCATTTTGCCGCAGCACAGATAGATCCTCCACTGCCTCCTCACGGTTTCCTTCACTGCACAGTGGAACACGAATATAAAGAAACCTACAAAACAAGCGTGTTTGTTAATGCCACGTTTCACAGTGCAGTAGTTACTTAGAGGAGCATTTAAAAACCAATTAGAGAAAAAGATGCGATTGTATTTTTGTTGTTAAAATAAGAGAAGAGGATGACGTCAATAAAAACTGGTTAAAATTGAGGACAAAAGAAAGGAAAACAGCAGAATTACTATGTAAACTGACCAGATTTGAGTGAAATCACCATTATTTCACAAACCAGCTCAGAAAATGTCAGCTCACCTTGCAGGGAGTTACAGATGGCAAAGAGGTACATGAACGCCAGGTTAACGGGCCCCCAGGCAAAAAAGGCAAAGCCCCACGTGAGGCCTAGCAGGATGGTTATCCCCAACACACTGCGCACATCCTGCAGTGTGCTGCGGTGCTGGAGATTTTGAGGGTTTTGTTTTTTTATCCGGCACAGCTGGACCATAACTACAATAAACATGATGAAGTTAAATATAAAAATGACGCAGAAATAGGCCACCACTGCCACGTAGAAGGCGATGTCATTTTTCAGCCAGCAGCTGTGGGAGAGTCGGAGGAGAATTAAAGGTTGTTCTGAGGTTTTATATCATGGATTTTATGTAGGATAATGTGCAATAATGAGATTACAAATAAAGTACTCACAACTCATCAGTAGTGCCATCACTAAACCTTCCATAGGAAACGAGACCGTAGTTGTTTTTGTCAATTGCAATGACAATAATGACCACGATCATCGGGATACCCCATCCAGCCAGCGAGAACTTCAGCATGTAGTGCGATACATTGACGTTGAAGACTTTCACAAGTGCCACGTACATGTGGACGGCCTCGAGACCCATCCATGTGAAGGCAGCTAACAAGAAGTAGTGAAGGAACCAGGCAGTGGAAATGCAAAGGCCCACGGCGTCTGGGTAGAGCGCCAGCCAGGCGTCCACCAGGAAGACCAGATTCAGCAGGAGCAGCGCAAAGCACAGCTGGATCAGGATTTTGGATGGGATGTCTTTGCGCAACTTGCTGTTTAGGCGAAATTATGAAGACAACATGTAAAAAATACCTCAGCGAGCAAAAAAAAAAAAAAAAAAAAATTCATAGAGCTTTAGCAATAAGTAATGAATAACAGATCTAGATCATCTATTTTCTGGATTTCTATACGTACCCAAAGGCCAAGTAGGTGAGGATGGTGACAGCCAGGAAGATAGCAGAGATTCCACAGCCAATGTATGTGATAAAGGTAAGGATGGTGCTCTGGACACGACTGGTTATAGGCTGCCTGGAGAGGTCCTTTATGAAGGAGATGCCCCCCAAAAGTGTTATTATTCTAATGAATAATAACCAAACATGACAACATACATGACAAAATGTATTTTGGTGATCTTACCAGCAGGATGGCAAAACTGGTTAAATGGTTGCAGCCACAAATTGTCTCACTGTCTGTGCTATTTTGGACAGAACAGCCATTTGAGCTCCAGCCACCCGATCCATCTGTGGGCAGAAAACAAACACGACTCGTGTTTTTACACGTCTGTTTGTGTTCACTGAAGCTCTTAACTCATGGCTGGACAACTTACCATTTAATGCAAAGTCCCAGAAAACACACGTTGCCACAAAATTTGCCTGTAATTTGAGAAAAAGAGTTTATCATCTTTAATTGCACATGATAGTTTTCTCTCTATCTCTCTCTCTCTGTTAAGGATGTGTTGCTTTTACAGCATGTTTGTGGCCTATTGCTGCTACATTTAACCACACACACATGTGTAGCTCGGTCGTATAGCTCCGGCATGTGTGCGCTGCTACAAACTGGCTTGGTTTGTCTGGTTATACCTGTAGCCGAAGCCCTTAGGCAATGCTTCCTCCAGAAGTAAATTTCTCTATGAGGACACAACCATTTCCTTTTAATTTGCCTTTAAATGACAGTTGGTGAAACCAGGCTTACCGGAATAGGCTCTTGGTTTTTTAGGGTGATTATAACATTGTCTCGGAGTCCTGTGATTGACAGGTTGGCGACACTTGCTCCTAGGATCCCGCTGTTAAGCCTGCGTACTCCCAGGGATTTGTCCTGTGTAGCCATTTAGAGACAACAAAACAAGTTTGTAAAGAGTGTGTAAGTATCAGATTTAAAACACTACATTAAAAATAATGTAAGTTGGCGTTTTTGTTAGTGGTGAATAAGAAGGGGACTGCTGGTTGAACTGTCAGACCTGGAATACGGTGCTCTTCTGGTAGAAATTGAACTGAACTCTGGAGACCTGCTGCTGTTCCTGAGATGTGAGATTCTGAGTGAGAGAGGCAGGCAGCGTGACGGAGCCCTGAGGGATCGAGGAGTTTGTTGTCACGCTCCTTCTCAGTCTGGGATTCCCACGGACCTGTAACACATATGGGCCTCAAGCTTAACAGACTCGATCATCCGAGAGTTGTTTTTTTTTGTTTGTTTGTTTTTTTTTTACCCTGTTTTCTATTTGGGGCAACTGGCGTCTCTCTACTAGAGATCACTATTTGGAGGAGCAGCTTTGTTCTTCCAAATAGTGGCAAAATGGCTGCTTATTCGTCAAAACATTTAGTATTACACCCACATTCACAAGCGTAATCCAGGGATTTACTGACAAATCATGTCATGTCATTGTGAGGAAAAGAAACCGTCAGAATTTCTGACCTAGATCACCTGGTTGTGTTTTTAAAAGCAAAAACAAGTCACATGATTAAACCAATTTGTTGTATTTTATGAATTGATCCTGTTTTTGACTGAACCACTTTACTCTGAAAAGCTGAAATAAATAAATGTAGTTTTAAATTTAGTTTAATCTGAACTACACATGCAAATACACAAAATACACAAAATCTGAGTTAGTATATTCTTCTTCTTCTTTTAAATATGCCAATTACAACCTAAAACAATTACTCCAACCTCCCTGTTAAAATAATCATAAAAAATTAAATCGACAGTAAAAAGGCACTAAATATCTTCTACAGGCTTCTCTAGACAAAGCTGGAAATGCTGTGTTATATGAGACACAAAGCACTTGTACAAAAGTGAAAGTTATTCTTCCCTACCTCCACATTGGTGGGGCTTGAGATGGAAAAAGTTGTTTTCTGAAAGTTGGCGCCATCTGCTGGTTTCACTGACAGAGCAACAGCCGGGGACAAAATGGTCTGAGCCGTCCCTCCAACAACCAGCTTGAGCCCCACTGTATCAACGATCCCTATTATCCTGGTGAGAATAAATGAATAAATAATAGTACGTGTCATTTCTTTAATTACAACAAGAAGCAATATTAGGGGAGACCGGGGATAGTTGTAACGTGGGTCAGTTGTAACACTTCCAATTTCTCCAATCAGGGCTAAGTTTCAAATGATGTGACTCATCCTGTGCATGCCCAATTCAGTTCTGCTATCACATGTGAAAAATCAGCACATTTTGTCAAACACAGACAATTTAACATGAAAAAAAGTAATTTGTATGCCAAAAAGTAAGTTTTTCTACTTTATTTCAATTTGTAATAGCATTATCTGCTTTGCAGTTAAACTCATCAAACTTAAATTATGTTATTTGTATGTCTATGGGGATATATTCTGTGTAGGTCTTTAGTGCTAATGTTTTAGCCGTTGCCTGTAATGTTAGCGAGTTCATGGCTATAGGAGTCTGGGTCAGTTGTAACAGCAACAGTCTGGGTTAGTTGTAACAATAATGCAGATGTTACAACTTACCACACTATTACTTTAACTTATATTAAACAAGTTGGGACAACGACATCAGCAGAGAGAGGTTCACTGGTCGCATTTGTATATGCAGTTAATGCCATTGGCAACACAATTCCTCCACTGTTTGTGTTCCCACACATACATTATGCAGACCACTGTGTCAGAGATGGACCAGTAGGAAGTACTGGTAGTGGAAATGGGTGCAAGAAACAGATTTCCTCATCTTTCTGAAGCACTTTGCAAACCACACCAAGGTAAGCCATGATAAAAAGTAATGGAATTGCGATGCTGGTGAACAACTACATTTTTTCAGCTTCATTGTTATGTTCAAAATTGGTGCAAGAGTTGTAGGTTATAATGCCCACTGAGCCAATGAGGCCAAACTCAAGGAAGACCAACCAAAATTAATGAAATATTCAGTTTCAGAAATTTCCATAATTTGTCTTTTTTGGGGGGTTGGAATATGTTCAAAAGCTAGATTTCTGCATTCTGTCACACACACACAGAGCTACATAAATGGATGTAAGTGCATTCATGTGTTGAATAAACAAAGATTACATGTTAATGTTTTGTTAGTACCCTTATTTCATTGTGTTACATTTCACCCCAGGATATGTTACAACTAACCCAGACTATGGGGTTAATTGTAACATTTCACTCTTCGTGTTTGAGACCATACCATGCAATGGGTAATTGTGCTGCAGAGAAAATAACTGCACTATTTAATAGCAGAGACATGTAAATACTTTGCATTACATTTTGAATCCACTACCTTAAAAGAGCTTCAATTTACAGACAGAAATGTCAAAAATGTTACAACTATCCCCGGTCTCCCCTACTGGTTAAAAAAAGATGAAAATAAGAGTTGGAATTGAGGTGTTTTGTCCTCCTATGGATGGAAGAGGAAAACTGGGGTTTTGTTGGTGTTCTTTAGAGCCCATATCTGGTTATTGTTGTGAGTAAAATAAAAATAAAAACAGTATGGGTCAAATGCATTGTCCACCCCATGAAATATTAATGCAAAAAGACCACAATAAATAAATAAATAAATAAATAAATAAATCTGTAACCTGTTGGAGGACTGTGACAGCACAGATGGAGAAGCACCCAGGAGATTGCTGACAATGTTGACTGATGTGTTCCCCAGCCCTATGCTGACATTTGGGCCTGATAACAGAGCCTCCAGCTTAGACACCAGCTGATTCACCTGGCTGGAGTTCAGTTTGGACACGTCTTTCGTCTCGTCAAGCAGTGCGTTGGCTTGGGCCTCAGCTGCTGTCAACACAATTTGACGAGACAGTGACGCTATGATAAGGAAAGCATTGCCACAGAGTTGTGCACGCAACTGAAGTGATCACAAACCTGACGAATTTGTTGTTGTACTTCCAGTTGTCGTCACAGAAGTGTTCGGATTTGTGGTGGCTGTAGTAACGGTGAGTGTAGGAGACTTGGTTGTAGTTGTGTTACCCGTACTTGAGTTATTAGCGGTAGTGATAGCTGTAGTTGTAGTAGTGTTGACTGTTGCTGGCACTGAGACATTAGCAGCACTGGTGGTGGTGGTTAGATTCACTCCTTGTGTTGTATTCAGCGGCATTGAAGTTGCATTTACAGCAATTGTAGTGCTATTAGCAGAGCTGGTGGTAGTGGCAGTGCTGTTGTTGGTGGTGCTGGTGGCAGTGCTGTTTGGTTGCACGGTTGTCACATTTGGGCTGGTTGTGGTGGTAGACACGTTTTGAAGATCACAACTGTCCTGCAGCTGCATAACCACATTGTTTTGTTTTTGACTATTAAAAAGAAATAAAGAAGTAACATTTTACTTTGGATCCTTTTGATCTGTTGCAGCACATTTTGTATAAATGTGGTTAGTGTGCAGGATATTAAGGTCATACAAACCAAGTGAGGCTGCTAGACTTTGCTGCAGCACAGAAATCTGCAGGCTTTATGTCCGTGCTGACCCATGTGAACTCAGACTGCAGGCTGACATTGGCTTGTAAATTTCCACAAATTGCTGTGGAAACACAAAAGCACCAATGAGAAGCTTTGCACAAGCTTTGCACAAGTCGTCACTTATTTTTTGACTGCTTGAGCTGATATTTCAGTCCTCATCTTGTTTTATTTTGGTTAGTATACACACCCGCTCGGATCACATGCCCGCTGAAACTGATTTGTTCCTTAGACTGAAGCAGATACACCACAGCATTTGCTACATCACAGACGGGGACCTCACGGGCAAAGGCCAGAATCACGCTACAGCTTTGAAGGCTATAACGGAAAAAACAAAAAGACAACAACAACAATTTTAGCCTAGTGTTCAAATGCAACAGATGCATCAGTGAGATTTAATGTGAGTTTTAGACAAATGTTCTAACATAGCTGGACTCACTTTGTTGACGTGCTTGCACATGCCACGTTTGCGTCCTGTGTAGAAATGTCAGTTTTAGAAAAATAACTTTAAATGAACGTAATAAAGGAAACTACTAAAACATTTTTAACGTGTTAATATAATAATAACACATGAAATGCAAATTCCTTTGGACATAAACTATATTTTTCCTGTGAGATTCCATTACATGGTGAGTTTCTTGTCATGTGAAACTGGAGTATTTTTGGGGTAAAAGTCAGTAATGTTCAAAAAGACATTACTGACAAAATGACATCTCTACAGCTGATATCTTCAAAAATGAACAACTCAAAAGATGTTAATCTAGATGAATAGATTGAATCTCCTTTAAGTCAAATAAAGAAATTCAATTCAGTTTAATTGATTTTTTTAAGGTTATCTTTTTCCCTAATGCAACCTAAATGCCTTACTTACATTTTGAAAACTTGCTTTGGCCCTAAATCATCATAACAGAGATAGAAAAACATGAAGGCAATAATATCATAATTTGGTGGTTGAATACCTTGTACTCAGATGCATTAATGGACACTGGACATAGACCTCTGCAAGGGAATATTACAAGATTGTTATTATTTTTTGTATTTTACATGTGATAAAAAGGTATTTATTTATTTAAAAACTGGTGACAAAAAACAAAACTTACTCTACACTTGGAGAGCAAGGTGGAAGCTGTCGCAGCTGAGAAATCTGTTACAGTTGAAGATATTAATGATTCATTGATGCTCCAAGAATTTATTCATATGATTTTTACATTAATGATTTGTTTATTTATATGTATTTGTGTTCTGTGTGAATGGAAGATTACCAGGTTGGTGACATTTAAATAGTTTATATTGGGATCTTGTATGGAAATATTAAAAGTGTAGTATGCATCTAAAAAACAAAGAAACAAAAAAAAGGAAAGATAATCAAGTCACCAAGCTTTCAGACTGTGTGATTTACATCATAATGCAAATGGTTTTGATAGGTGACACTAACCTGATCCACTGCAGTAGTCAGAGCAGTTGCACTTGCTTGTGGTGATGTTGCCTGAAACAAAGTCAAAGCATGATGGTTTACAGTGTGGATCGAATCAAGGCACCTTCAAGACTCTACTTTTACACTTTAAGGGAAAAATACATTTAGAAAAAATATTTAGAAGAATCTTGTGCATTTTGCTTTTTTACAATCTTATTTGTTCAGTTTTTAATTGTCTGTGTTGCAAGTATGAAGCAACCCCGAGCTGCTGGCTAACCTGGCATGCAATCAAAAGCTTAATGAGTTTCCTTATGTTTCCAGTTATTATGATAAGCTAAATTAACCAGATGCTTTGTACAGAACAGGGTTTTTAACCATTTTCTATTTTTAGGCATCTGCTAAAACACTCACAGAACAATTAATCCTATATAATCCGCAAATGCTCTGTAGCGTGTCCACACGATTTGGTATCCAGGTATAATGTTAACTGTAACTGAGACTTAATTAATATTATTCTTTTGAAATGTGTGTTTCCTGACATGCCCTGAAGTACTTCCTGGTGTCTTTTAACACAAGTGTGTTGCTTCATCAGGTTTCAGTAGCAGTAACAGTCTAATTCATGTATTGATGCAATGATGTTGTTTGTTTGTTTTCATGGTTGGTCCATTTAAACTGAGCTTAACTATGCTTACATTGAATAGTTTGGAGCTCACCTGCACTGCAGTTAGTTGAATTACTTGGTGGAACCACATATGCAGCTGCAGACTCATTACTGTAAAAAACAAACAAACAAACATGGAATTTCACAAAACTAAAGTATGAATTTAAAAAGTATAATTTATCTTTGATTAATCAGTTAACATTTAGCACTTGGGAAAGCACAGACTGCCCGTACTGAGGATCTTACCATGCTGCGTTGTCTTGACCAGTGTAAATGCAGCTGTTTTCTACTGTGCTGCTGTTATTGCACACATTTTGAAGCTGACCTGTTAAGCGACACAGAGGATTTATTACATTGTTACTTTTATAACATCCTGCAAACGTATCAGGTAGGTAACTATGCATCACTCACCCACTCTATCTGCCTTTTTCCCCAGCACGTAAAAATCAGATGAAGTGTTAGTGGCTGCGCAGAGAGTGCGGAGGATACAACATGAAGACACCGCCTGACTCAGCTTCAGCGTCACAGAGCACGTGGTGTTTCTGCAGCATAAGATCAGTGTTAATGTAGGGATCATGAGATAAGCTTATTTCAATGACTTGAATGTCTTTACTTCACTTACCTTATTTCAGTTTTTGTCACGCATGACACTTCCATTCCCTGGTAAAACACAAATCAGGCTAAATTCAAGTGATCTTTTTCATTTACAGAAACCTACAGACACAATTATGTGCTCACTCACTTGAAATAGGCCCGTTGTATTTATGACATTAGTGTTCGAACTGAAAAGTAAATGGAGATAAGGTTAATGGGTGTCAGGACTAACTGATATGATTCGTCATCTCAGTGGAATTAGGACTGATTGTGCAACTGCTCATATGATCTCCAGCTTTATGAAAAAGTCAAACAAGCGTTGCTTATTTTGCTTAATGCTTATTCAAGGGGATACAAGAGGGGGGAAATATTGGAAATTCAGTGTGCAGGCATCTCATTAGCTGCAACTTTTGGCTGCTGTCAGCAAAGGAAATAATCAAAGTTAAAACTAAACTAAAACTAAAGTAAAAGCAGATGTGAAAAAAAACTTTTTGTTAACAATAATAAACTATAACATGACTAGAATAAAAGTAAAAAATGTGAAAAAATGAAAAACTAGCTGAAAAGATTTTGTTAACTTGGAAATCGAACTAAAATTAAAAAAAATTCTTAGTTTGAGCTTTTTTTTAGTTTGGTAAAAATGTTAAACTAAGAATGAAATTAATAAAAACTAAACTAAAACAAAATATTTTTACAAAAACTAAACTGAAATGAAAAAACAAAGAAACTAAGTGAAACTAAACTGATTTAAAACAAAAAGTCGAAAATGAAATAACAAAAAAACCACATTTTAAAAATACAAAACTACAATAACTCTGAATGTGTCACGGCTGCACAGCAGTCGTGTGGTGAATTGAGTAAAGGATCCAAGATGCAGGCACTGACTGGGGTGCGAGTGAATATTTATTTGCAGAGGTGATAAGGGGACAAAAACAGGAGGAGCAGAGCGGGGAGTAAACCAACCTAAACTGGGGAAAACTAAAGAACTCAACTTAAACCAAACACGCACAGGGGGAGGAACAAAATACACAATGAAAGCTGGCGGAGAGACGCAGACTAAACACCAGGTTACACAGAATGATGCAGACGGACGCGGCGTTAAACAGACGACGCAACAGAGAGCACAGGAAAACACAGGGCTTAAATACACGGGGAGTAATCAGGGAATGGGCCACAGGAGGGAGACACAGCTGGGAGCAATAAGGCTAACGAGACAGGGGAGAGGTAAAACTGAACACACTGACATGAGACATGAACTTTCAGAATAAAACAGGAAACTAACAGACACAGAGAATCAGACAGGACACTGAACATGACAGGCAGACTCATGAGCAGACACAATAACACCATGGACAGACAGAGGGAACACAGAGAAATGGGAGCAGGCAGGCAAAGAACAGAAACCTAACAAATGGCAAAATCACAACAGAATACACACTCGGAATGAACAAAAGCATAAGGAAACACAAAACACTGAGTCCTCAGACTCAGGACCATGACAGAATGTAATCTCACCTTAAATGATAAGCGTAACAAATCTTCACAGTGTGGGTTCGACAACACAGTTGCCACAATATATTACAGAAAGTGCTCCATGAAAATTCATAATCTCATTTTCCATCTGTTCATTTATTTGATAGAAATAGTTGCACTCATACCTGCTTTGTGTCCCATTGCCACTAACGTCCCGAGCTACACGTATCAAGCTTCTTTTCCGTTTTCTTTTTCTTGCTAATGGTGTTGCAGTGGTTGTGAAGTTGCCTCCTGTTGGTGTTGCTGCTGTAGTTGTCCCGTTGCCTTGTAATGTTGTTGCAGTGGTTGTGAAGTTGCCTCCTGTTGGTGTTGCTGCTGTAGTAGTCCCGTTGCCTTGTAATGTTGTTGCAGTGGTTGTGAAGTTGCCTCCTGTTGGTATTGCTGTTGTAGTTGTCCCGTTGCCTTGTAATGTTGTTGCAGTGGTTGTGAAGTTGCCTCCTGTTGGTGTTGCTGTTGTAGTTGTCCCGTTGCCTTGTAATGTTGTTGCAGTGGTTGTGAAGTTGCCTCCTGTTGGTGTTGCTGTTGTAGTTGTCCCGTTGCCTTGTAATGTTGTTGCAGTGGTTGTGAAGTTGCCTCCTGTTGGTGTTGCTGTTGTAGTTGTCCCGTTGCCTTGTAATGTTGTTGCAGTGGTTGTGAAGTTGCCTCCTGTTGGTGTTGCTGTTGTAGTCGTCCCGTTGCCTTGTAATGTTGTTGCAGTGGTTGTGAAGTTGCCTCCTGTTGGTGTTGCTGTTGTAGTTGTCCCGTTGCCTTGTAATGTTGTTGCAGTGGTTGTGAAGTTGCCTCCTGTTGGTGTTGCTGTTGTAGTCGTCCCGTTGCCTTGTAATGTTGTTGCAGTGGTTGTGAAGTTGTTGCCTCCCGTGGGTGTTGCTGCTGTAGTGCTGTTGCCTTCTAAGGCCGTGGATGTTGCACCTGTACTATTGCTCTGTAATGTGGTTACTGCAGTTGTTGTGCTGTTGTAAGTGTTCAGTGTTGATGAGGCCACTTGTGTTGTCTCACTGACAGTACTTGCAGGTGTAGTTTGTGGGGAGGTCGGTGTGGCAGTAGTTTCTGGAGGGTTTGGAGGCACGCAGTTCTCCAGCTTGGTGCTGAAAACCTGCTTGAGCTGAGGAAAAGAGCATATGGTTTGCTGACAGGATTTAAGCATTACATCTGGTGTTTTAATAAGCCTGCTGTCGTACATGTTACATACCCAGGCAATGATTTCAGATTCGTTCTTGATCTGTCCAGTGACATCCACCGTAATGTCAACAAAGTAGTATACTGCATTACAAAGCAAAGAGAATCATTGGCAAAAGTTGCTAAACTCTATAACGGAGGACAACATACCAGCTGCTTGTAACAAAGAGGCAATCTAAGGGCTGAGAAAGGGAGCCAAAAATAGAAATACCAAAAATGAAGTGACTCACAGTCACCTGATGTGTTGCAACTGAAGCTGGCTGCTCATTTTAAATGTCAAACTATATTTAATTTCCATGGCAAATATTGTGCTCTGTGGTAATTTTAACAGGGGTGGAGTTTTAGATAGTTAGCTTGTTTGTGTTGTTCTTGCCATTTGGAGCACTTTTGTTCTGTTACATTCCAAATTATATGGCTTTCATGGTGGTTAATGTTAACAGGCCATTCAAAAATGTGCCCCAGTTTTGAGAATTTTTTGTATTTTTATTTAGCCTAATTTACTTAAATACTATTACCTGTACAAGTCAACTACAGTGGGGGAAATAATTATTTGATCCCCTGCTGGAAGTGGAAGTGCTCACTTGCAAAAAAATGAACAGCCTCTAATTTTCAAATAAATAAATACATTTAAAAATAACATAAAAGTTATGAATTCATTTGTATGTCATTTAGAGAAATAAACATTATTTCTACCCAACCAGAAATCCGGCTCCTGCAGACTGACTGCGTTCCCATGTGACACACAGATTTCAATACATCGATCAATCAAGAGCAGATTCACCTGCTCTTGATTCATTATGTGTATAAAGCACACAGAATCAGTTTCTTTCATTTAAACCTCTCCGCCATCATGAGCACAACCAAAGAACGGTCAAAGGATGTCAGGGACAAGATTGTAGACCTACATGATCATCCTGGGGGAGGAGAAGCCTTGGGAGAAAGTGCTGTGGTCAGATGACGCCAAAAGGGAAGAGAAATGCTGAGTATGACCCAAAGAAAATCTCCCCACAGTCAAGCACGGAGGTGGAAACATCATGCTTTGGGCTAGGTACAGGGGACTTCGCTGCATTGAGCGGCTATTGACAGGGTCATGTACCATAAAACCTAGGATGAGAACCTTCTTCCCTGAGCCAGAATACTGAAGACGGGTCATGGATGGAACTTCCAACATGACAGTGGCTTAAAATATGCTGCAGAGGAACAAAGGTGTGGCTAAAGAAGCATATTAAGGTCATGGAGTGGCATAGATGGGCTCCACACCCTCGGGCTGCGCCATCTCCTACACACCTGCATCCCATTCGAGACAATCGCCGGGGGACTACTTCACCCGGCGCAGATGGCTGCTCCTCGCCAGTCCGTTAGTCACCCCTCGGTGGTAACTAGGCTCTTCGTAAGTTCTGTATTTACTGGAGAACTTCGGAATTCATCTTCATCTTGTGTCTATGTACTTAGGGAAGGACGTTCGGCGCTGGAATCCTGCCACCTGCCTGTCCCCATGCCTGTTCACCTCCCATCCTCGTTCCTGCCTCCTCAGACTCCCTCCATGGACTCTTCCCCCTCTGAGTTTCACGGTCCGGCTCTAATCATAAGCCCTGACGTTTAACTTTTTCTGGCTGTTACGTGCCATTCCTCAGTACTCTAGTAATTGTGTTTCTCCTCTCTGTTGCAGTTTTCCCTCAGTCCAGATTACGGGCGCTCCAGGGTTTTCTGTTCCCAGTTTTTCCCTGGCTTGAGTTTGTAGTTTTGGTTCCCTTGTTTTCATCAAGTTGCTTTGTTTATTAATAAACCTGTACATAGTTCTGAGTGGCTGCACATTAATCTGCTTCCAGGGTCCTTATCGTAAGTCTACACTGAGGTTCTTGACAGTGTGAGTTTTCCCCTGACCTTTGTCGTCGCGTCTGCTTTACCCCCGTGGCTCTTCTGTGTTCTGTTTCCCCAGTTCAGGCATACCTCTGTTTAGTTGCTTTCCCCCCGTTTGGTGTATCTGCCTTAATAAATGGCACACTTTTAGTTAATTCCCATTTTCGTCTCACTGTGGTCTGCATATGGGTCCTCACATAAAAGAATCCACCCAATCTGCCTCCGCATATCGTGCAGAGTCGCCCCAAATCCTTCCTGAGGTGTGTGCAAACCTTGTGACCAGCTATCAGTAAACTTGTTATCTCTGTGCTTGTTTCTCAACCAAATACTAAGTCAACCAAGTATTAAAGTTTTGCTTGAAGATCAAACACTTATATCACTGAGTGACATACAAATCAGTAACACAGATTAAACAAACGTTTTTCCTACAAAGCCAAGGGGTGAGCAGATTTTATCAGGGTTCATTTACCTGATATTTGTGGAGCTGTAGTAGAAACAGTAAAAGGGGAAGGAGTTGTAGTGGTCTGGTTGCAGGAGGCTTGCCCTGATTGGAAAAGAAAAAAGTTCTCAGTTACCACTGTTGGCAACTTCATGGAGAGTTTTGGGACCAAAAGCCAATCGTGTGTATTGAACACTAGACACCACGTTGATGGACATTAACATGATCCAGTTTCAGTGTACAAAGTTCCTAATGTGGTTTTTAAATCCTACACGCTGGAAAATGGGAATTCTGAATTTTTTCAGCACATAAACTCTGTTTTTAAAAAAACAGAACACTTTAAAAATTAATGCACTTTGTGGTAGTTGCACAAAGTCATTGAAATGCATTTCCATTCCCTCACTTCCTGTTCTCTGTGTGGTCTTTTTTAGTCTTCTCCATTTGTGCCTTTCTCAGAATAGCAGTACGACTAATAAACAAAACTAGACTAACTGGTTACAGTATATTATGAAAGAGTTCAAGGTATTTGTGTGCGTACTGTATGTGTGTGCGTGTGCATGCCATGCATTGCAGGTTATAATTAGAGGTTCAAAGCTGTTGGTCCACTAAACAGCCGCCTCCGCTCAATTGTCTTCGTGTTTTTTCATCTCTTTTGTGTCACAGCTGATGTCAGATACCTGCTAAGAGGACAACGATGACCACCAGGTGTGTCTGCAGCAAGTGGAAACATCTGATAAGCGAGCCTGGCTTCTTCACCCTGTTAAGTTGAAGAAGTTTAAGTTTAGTAAATAAACACAGGGGGCTAAAGCTTTATTATATTTATTCTGACATATGACAGAAGAAAGAGTCAGACTGAGTCATACTAATCTAGAAAAGCCCTACCATCACACCCATGCTAACAAATGCTGAAAGGCTGTAATTAAAATGTGTCTTAAAGGTTTTATCTCCAGTTCTGGTTGTTAACAGATGAGTAATGCCAAATGAAACACTTGAACGATTTCAGGATAGTGAGCGCGGTCTAATAGAACAAATTCATTACCTTCAAAGTGCACATGATGTATGGAGTACATACACCATGAATCAATAGTTATTTTTTCATGTTCATTTGAATCTCTTATTATTAGGCAGCAAATAATTTGCATGTACAATTCTCCAAACTTTGCCTCCTATTTTTTTAAATAACAAGCAGAATAACAGTGAGTAAGTGGACTGACTGTATAACTAAATGTCTTCTTTCACATCCATGGAAAGCGTCATTGTTATTGGCACATAGGGTGCATCCTCTCCTATATTCTTATATAACCAGTAACATCAGTCCTTAAAAAATGCGTGACTACTTTGCAAATACAAAATAACAACAAATAAAAAATGTAAATAATTCGATTCTGTGACTTAAAAAATGACTTTAATGTTATTTGATGCCGCATAAGGAAGTGATTTATAGATATGAGCGCATCTGTATGAACCATCTGGATTAATAATCCTGACTGAAAACCGATCCAGCTGCTGTTTCTGAGTTAAGATGTGTTTCCCTCCACATTAAGGAAAAGGAGAGACACCGCCACCAACACCACCTCCACCGCCACCATCTCGCTTTACCTGACTAAAGGAGCAGATATTTGCTGGCAAGGAAGTCTGCCTGAAGAAATCCTTGGATCCTTCATGACTCTGTCTTCATTTTTGTGGAACATAGCTTCCGATGGGCGAAGTAAAACGTTCAACAACAAACATTAACAGTCATAAATCTAGCCAGTGCTCTCGGCTGTGTGCTTTGTCAATTCTCCACCACTTTCTCATGCACAATCAATAGCTGACACATGTGGCACGCCCATGAGACGTCAAGGTGAGCGGGTGGACGTCACATACATTCTCTTCAGCTCTGGCACCTTTGGTTTAACATTTCAACACCACCCAAAGAGGAAGCTGTCTGATTGTAAAACTAGACCCAAAAATAATAACACAGTCCGATCGTCTGCCTTTAAAGTTCCCTGTAGGTTTTTGGAAGGAAGAGATTTGTGTGTTTCTTTTTCTTTTTTGTTTGTCAGTACAGGTGTGCCTCAGGGTGTGTCATAAACCTGTGTTTTCAGTAATAGACACAACTGAAAGTGTTTCCAGGACAACACTGCAGGGCTCTAACATTGTGGCCCGACTGCTACAAAAAAAAAAAGAAGTCACGCACCATTACTCTGTAAGTGCCTGTTTTTCAGGACTGTGAGCAGTCTGTCAGAGTCTGTCTGTCACACACCACCACATGAGCACGCTCTCTTATTTCCTTCTCTGTTCTGCCTCTTATGCTTGTGTTTACAGTTTTTCTCAGTCCCTTTGGTGCTTTTCTCAGATCAGAATAATAATTCTCAAAACCATTAGTGCAACCTCCATAACATTTAGTCATTTCTGCACATTATGGTACCAATTTCTCCTTCCCCTGAACAAATTGCAAATGCTCTTGGACATGTATCAGTTGCTTTCATACAATTCTCTGCGGTCGACAACATTATCATTTTCTTATGTCATGTCAGTCAAAATGAACTATACCTTTGGATGCTGAAAGACTATTAGTTCCCAATAAAACTAATAGTCTTCATTTCATTGCTTGAGTCATTACATACAAAATTGGTGAAATGCTGTCAAGCAAATTTTATACCTTTTTTAAATGATTTTTTCCTGGAAATGTCCCCGAAATTGAACAATTTCTCTCAGGTGAACTTCAGCTTTCACTGATGAGGAGGTGTGTGAAGTATTAGTTGTAACCACTGACAAGCCTCTTGTTCACAGTCACTCATGGATCAATCCCATGAACCCTCAATTGGCAAGCAAATATGAACCGAGCAGGACATAGTTTGTACCATCCATTCACGTCCGCTTATCCTTTTCAGGGTCGCGGGGGGCGCTGGAGCCTATCCCAGCTGTCATGGGGCGAGAGGCGGGGTACACCCTGGACAGGTCGCCCGTCTGTCGCAGGGCCAACACACAGGGACAGACAACCATTTGCACTCACATTCGCTCGCACATTCACACCTATGGGAAATTTGGATTAACCAATTAACCTATCCCCACTAAGTGCATGTCTTTGGACGGTGGGAGGAAGCCGGACTACCCGGAGAGAACCCACGCAAACACGGGGAGAACATGCAAACTCCGTTTGTACCATTTTTTACAATTCTGTGACACAGAAATGGGAGGTCAGCATGGTGGAAGAGGGGTAAGGATGTGTGTGTGTGTGTGTGTGGGGGGGGGGGGGGGGGGGGGGGGGGGGGGGGGGTTGTCAATCACAGTCTCACAATGGATGAGGGCGGTCGGAAGATGCAACCAAATGTTGGAAGAACCACTGTGAACAACCTCGCAGAGGTGGAAGAAGGCCTGTTTTTACCCAGCAGCAAGAGGAAGCCATTTGTGCAAGGGTGATTGCATACAATGCAATAAAGTTGAAAGAATTCAAAGTGCTGTCATAGAGGATAACGGTGTATTTGGCCACATTGGATCTGTGTCTGACACATGATAGAATGCTGGTTGAATATCTCCCTCCCTACTCCCCATTCCTTAATCCGATAGAGGAGTTTTTCTCTGTCTGGAGGTGGAAGGTTTTTGACCGGCATTCACATGCGCAAATGGCACTGCTAGCAGCCGTGGATGCAGCATGTGACGACATCACAGCAGAGTCATGCAGAGGGTGGATTCGTCACTCCAGGAGATACTTTCCTCATTGCATTGCAAGGGATGATATCCGTTGTGATGTAGATGAGAATATGTGGTCAGACAGACAGGAACGTCTGGATGTGCCAGCAGGATTTACGTATGTTCAGTTACAATATGTACCGTTATATTGTTCACATTTGTGCACAGCTCTACCAAAAGGGTGTTTCTTATGTTTATTCTAAATAGGTGACTGTAGAGTATTTTTCTTTTGCACAGTGTTGTAGAATTACAAACAGCCCACACAGTAAAAATGTGAAACATACATATTCAGTGTCTTGTACTCACTTACTTCCCTAACTACAGGAATGTCTAACTTTTCTGTAGATTTTCCTGTAAATGGCTGTACAAAAAGTGTATAGTGCTGTCTTGAGCATTTTTAGGTAGCGTCACCGAGTTCTGACCTTTTTTGGATTGGAAAACACTGAGAGAATACTGTGAACTGTCATAATGAAAACATGACAAAGCCATTTGACTATCTTGTTCATAAAGATGGTGTCAAGACTTCTCACTTTGATGACACCGGCAGTTTCATTGACATGAATACTTGCTTTTGAGGAATGGATTATCGATTTTGAGCAAGTGACCTGCTTTTGCAGGTTATCCACTAGGTTTTGCAGTTTGCACCAAATGTTTTGAGAAATACACTAACTGCTGTGCAAATGTTAATAGTGATTTGAGAAAAGCACCAAAGCGACTGAGAAAAACTGTAATTAAGGAAATGCACCGCAAAATACAGTTACAACCTCAAAATGTGGGTGAAAGCACTGCACAATATTCATGGTATAGCTTTAAAATGCTGACATTGTCAGAGCTTCTGTTTCTGATCTGAATAACATAAGACATCAAGCAAGAGGGATGAAAAGCTGAGTGATTTTGATATTCATGGAGCTCAGGTGTAGTGTGTTTCAGTAGGTTGTGAGGACTGTAGATAGATAGATAGATAGATAGATAGATAGATAGATAGATAGATAGATAGATAGATAGATAGATAGATAGATAGATAGATAGATAGATAGATAGATAGATAGATAGATAGATAGATAGATAGATAGATAGATAGATAGATAGATGTAAAACTATTGCGGTAAAACTTTGATCAGGAAAGAATTAACTGAGAATGCAACAATGTGTGTATTATTTATTAAAGTAGATGCCCAGTGATACTAGTTGGATAACCTTGTAAGAGAGTAGCTATATGATTAGAGATGTTGCTAGCCAGATTTTTTTGTATCCTTTAGCTACTTCCCCTGTTTTTAATGGCTTTGCTTAGCTAGGTAATCATTTCCTAGCTGCGGTATCGTGCTAAAGATATAGAAATGAGCAGTATCTATGTTGCTCCTCACCAAAAGAGGAAATTAGTGCATATTTCTCAAGATGTTTAACTGTAAAAAAACAAAGGGCTTTTTTTTTTTGTAAAGCTTTAATATCTAATGGTCACATTTAGACCTAATTTGAATTAAGATGCCTCCCGCTGAGCTCTTCCATTGCAGGTATTATCAGTCTGGTGTCCTGCTGGCTTTCTGTTCCACAGCACACTGTTATGCAACTGAGTGAACCTTTTCCATTTCCCCCTCACATTCTACATCCACTAATAAATTTAACATATTTCCATGCGATTGCCTTGGAGGCTCAAAGCCCTTTGGGGTTACATCAGGTAGTCAGGTAAAATGCACCAAAATAAACATGCGGCATGGCTTGCTGTTGTGACCCCTTGTGAATAAGGGAGTGGCTGAAAATGTCTTTCTTTTATTTCCATGCAGTTATTGTGCACCGGATATTACCCAAGATATTTCATTTCGTATAGAAAAACCTGTGTTGCTTTCAGGACTGTGTGCAGCCTGCAACTTAGTCCTTATTTGGATGTAAGGTCAGATGTGTCTATTTTATAATTTGTGTCAACCTGTGAAGACCATTAAGTTTCCCATTGTGGTCATGAGAAGGTGTAGGTATGATTGCATGATTTTAATACCGAGTCACTAACACAGGGCACACATTTGACACCTGAAGAGCCAGGAGTTCTGAGGAAAAACAAAAGCTGTGTTCTCCTGAACATGCTTAGTGTTTTTGGTTTGATCTGCAGAGAGTGTTCAAGATATTCACAGAGGTCAGTAAAAGAACACACTACTGTCAAATAGATATGGATCTATAGCAGGATGTCAAATTTATACAGCCCAGTTTGATAAGTGGGGCAGATTGGAAAAACCCAGGTTGGGGTTTAACAACATATTTAATTCTTCAGATATCTTAATATAACAAAAAGAATGCTGCTGTAGTAAATGAAAGAAACCTGTCAGCATGAGTCTTTGGGCTTAAATTTTAGGACGTAATTGTGTAAAATTAAAGAAAACGTTTTTTTAACTCATTGCTAAGACTGTAATTATACAACAGTTAATTCACAGAAAATATCCCTTTTTCCCACTGTGAGTCCACAGAAAAAACAAAGTTCTACAGTAGATACTGCAAAAGGGGAAATTTTCTTTCATTGTACTGTTTATCTATTACTTCATTTCTTTGGTGTGGTATGAATGGCCCTGGGGGAAATGCAATTACAAGTCCAAAATTTATGCCCTTTTTCACATTTTCCCATTGGGTTAGATTGGGGTGTTAGCCAGGCTGATGAAGGCCCCCGAGTCTTATCTTTGAAACCATTTAAATGAAATGTTTTTGAAATTCAACACATTCAGCAAATTTTTTAAGTTTTTGCAAATTTTACACACAATTTTCTGTCTGGTGAGGATGATATTAAACATGAACTTGTTTATAAGTGCTCCACTGGGCCCCTTCAGTTGAAAGTGTGATGCACTAAATATCAATAAAGTTCAAGGCAAAGAGAATGTGAAGCCCGAGTCAGACATTTAAGAGCATACACATATTTATTTTCTATATGTACTGTATTTAATGTACGTATGGATGTATCTGATCCAGCAATAAAACAAAATCCTACAAATGTTTATGCATTTTGGATAAAAACTCTTTCTGTTATAAAATCAAGCATGCCAGAAACACACGTAAACATTCATTAAACTATCAGCCGTTCACTTCCACGGCCGCTCTCAGGTTTTCTTCAAGTTACAGCCGAAC